ATTTCAATGCATTTTCGGCCTTAAAGCGGCCGCCATTTGGCTATCGTTAATGAGATCATGAAACAAATGCACATACATATTTGTGACATGATGTACCTTGTGTGTGTGAAATTTGAACTCGATCAATCCAAGCATGTCTCAGATACGGATCCAGAACTGAATTCTTTAAAACAAAATGGCCACCAGTCGGCCATTTCGAACCCGATTCAAAAAAAAAATGACGTGCATCAAGGTCCTATTATGTTTAATGTATGTACCAAATATGAACAAAATCCGTCCATGCATAACTGAGATCCGGGTCCGGAATGGTGAAAATGTGCGATTTTGATGCATTTTCGGCCTTAAAATGGCCGCTATTCGGCTATCGTTAATCGGATCATGAAAAAAATGCACATACATATTTGTGACAGGATGTACCTTGTGTGTGTGAAGTTTGAACTTGATCAATCCAGACATGTCTCGGATACGGATCCAGAACTGAATTCTTTAAAACAAAATGGCCACCAGTCGGCCATTTCGAACCCGATTCAAAAAAAAAATGACGTGCATCAAGGTCCTATTATGTTTAATGTATGTACCAAATATGAACAAAATCCGTCCATGCATAACTGAGATCCGGGTCCGGAATGGTGAAAATGTGCGATTTTGATGCATTTTCGGCCTTAAAATGGCCGCTATTCGGCTATCGTTAATCGGATCATGAAAAAAATGCATGTGCATATGTCCCATATAATGTGTGATGTATGAGTGAAGTTTGAACTTAATCGGCCCATGCATGTTCGAGATACAGGTGATCACGGACGGACGCACGGACGGACGGACGCACACAGGGCAAAACATAAGTCCCCGTTTTCGGACTGCGTCCGAACGGGGACTAAATATAAAATACAATTTGACTTTTGGTTTTTAACAAGAAGTCGAAAATATCACATTTACCAAAAATGACAAAAATATTCACCAAACTTAGAGAATTAAAGATATCATCACAAAATGAACAAATCTGTGAGAGGTCCACATGTATTACCTATATATGCAATATCAAAGCAATCGGACTTACATTTTTTAACAAGAAGTCGAAAATATAACTTTTTACCAAAAATGACAAGATATTCAACAAAAAAAGCAAATTTGAGATTTTGACATGAAATATACAAATCTGAGAAAGAACCATCCAATTTGAAAACATTCTGACTTGTGGTTTTGAAGTTGAAAATGTAATTGTAAAGTTGATGACGACGATGGACAATCAGTAATACGAACAGCTCCGTTGTGTCGACTTTGTCGACAGGAGCTAAAAACTGATTTGAGTAATTGTAACCACAAGAAAAAACGGCAGACAGTTTTTCCTAATTTCTTGTGATGATACGGATAAGGTAATAAAATAAATTAAGTAACTCACAATCAAAAAGCAAGCTCCTAACATGACAGCTTTCATGTTCACATCTAAGTCCATTGGGAATGTAATACCAAAGTTATCAGCATCAGTGAACATTTCCTTGACCATTCCAGACCATTGTTTAGATATCTTACCAACCTGAGTGGCACCATCAGTTGACAAAACCTACAAAATCCAATTTTAACTGTGTTTCATTAACAAATATTTATAAACAAGTTTCAGTACTCAAGAAAAAATAGTTTATTTACAGTATATGTCAAAACAATATTCTCATGATTTACACTACAGTGTTTAGTACAACTCTAATAATTTAAAAGTAAAACAATTAAAACATAGCATAACTTATAAATTTATATTGAATAACGAATGAGAATTCAGAATATACACATGTACAATCTAGTTGTGTTAAGCATGCACAAGATTTTCTCTAAGTGACTAAATTGGTAAACTATAAGTTTATAAGCTGGAGGGATAAGTTTCGGAAAAACCAATGACATACATGTACAATGACATTGATCAGGAGTGAGAGAATTTCTTTCATTTGAGTCTACCGGTAGTTCAGTGTTAGTTAAATATCTATGCAGCTGCCTAAATCCAAAGTTTTGTTTAATTCTCATTTTTTCTTTTGGTATGAACAAACAAGTAGCCTGTCGGCTGAGATAGCTCCGCTTTTCAATGCACATTGCATTAAACAAGCGACCTGACGGTCAAAATAGCACCGCTGTCTTCATTATCATGGAACAAGAATCAGTAAAGTGGCATTGTGGTTGTAATATTTATAGTCAGTCATTTAGGGAGCATTGCACTTGAGTTACAGTTGCAATTACCGGTAGTTGTCAAAAATAAAAATTTTTACCAAAAATAACAAAAATATTCACTAAAAATCCAAATTTGCATATTTTGACACAAATTTAACAAATCTGACATAGGACCACCCCACGTATCATTGCTGGAAATATGAAAGCATTTGGACTTACGGTTTAGGACTAGTTGTCGAAAAAATTTGCATATTTTGAGACAAATTTAACAAATCTGACAGAGGACCACCCACATATCCTTGCTGCAAATATAAATGCAATTGGACTTACGATTTAGGACTAGTTGTCGAAAAAATTAAATTTTTTTACCAAAAATGACAAAAATATTCACTAAAAATCCAAATTTGCATATTTTGACACAAATCTGACAGAGGACCACCCCAAGTACCTTTTGGTACAAAAATGAATGTAATTGGTCTAGTACTTTTGAAGAAGAAGTCGTTTAGAGGAAAACTTCACGCGGGACCCCCATACCAAAAGCTCCGCTGGGTCATCTTCGATGACAGCAGAGCTAAAAATGAACAATATGTGTAGTATCGAAGCAATCAGACTTGCTGTTTTCAATATCACTTTTTACCAAAAATGACAAAAATATTCATCAAAATTAGATAATTGAAGATATCACCATGAAATGAACGAATCTGAGAGAGGTCCACATGTAATACCTATATATGTAGTATCAAAGCAATTGGACTTGCGATTTTTAACAAGGAATCGAAAATATCACTTTTTACCAAAAATGACGAAAATATTCACTAAAATTAGGGAATTGAAGATATCATCATGAAATGAACAAATCTGAGAGAGGTCCACATCTAGTACCTATACGTACAATATCAAAGCAATTGGAATTGTAGTTTTTAACAAGAAGTCGAAAATATCACTTTTTACCAAAAATTACAAAAATATTCACCAAAATTAGAGAATTGAAGATATCATTACAAAATAAACAAATCTGATAGAGGTCCACATGTTATACCTATATGTATATTATCAAAGCAATTGCACTTGTGGTTTTTAACAAGAAGTCGAAAATATCACTTTTTACCAAAAATTACAAAAATATTCACCAAAATTAGAGAATTGAAGATATCATCATGAAAAGAACAAATCTAAGAGAGGTCTACCCAAGGTATGCACCATATACACTAAGTATCAAAGCTTGTAGTTTTCAGGAAGAAGTCAAAAAAGTAAAATATTGACAAGGAATACAGACGACACTGAATGTCAACGAACAATCACTCATATGATAAGCTCCACTCGACAAAGTTGACAGCGGAGCTAAAAATGAAAAATTTAATTATGACAATCCCTGTGGTGGACATCAAAACAAAATTTTTTTTATAAAAAATGGTAGTATTACTTCCTTACACTAAGTATATTTTATTGTAAAGATAGCTGTATCTTTGTCATAAAAGCCTGTTGCTATCATGAACACGTGTAGAGCAGACTACAAATGTCGCATACACAACTGTTATCACATCTTAAAAGTATGGTGGCCAAATAGTCAAATTCCCTCATAAGGAGAATGTTAGTGGAAGAAGTACTTTTCACAGCCAACTCACATCATAAAACACAGAGTACCTGATAAACTTGCAATGGTATGGAAAAGATGGAAAAAAGAATTAATGAAGACCAATTTGTGGGAATAGCGACACAAGACTGAGAGACGCTGTTGAGAGAAGCGAATCTAAACTTAGACAAATGCCTTCAAAAGTGTTGGCATCTGAATTGTCAAAAGTAAGATGCGAGTGGAAAATCCATAGAAATCGCTAACATCAGAGAAAGACAGATGAAAAATATACACTAAATTCAACCAACTGACAATGTTACCTAAAATGCTATGCTTTACTCCCAAGTAACTTATCCATTTATGAAAATGTATGTGACAAATTCAGGTTGTAACATGAAAGCATTTTTTATCAGTGGTCCATGTTGACCACAATCTCACAACACTGGTGGGTCAAAACTTAATCACTATCTGACTTATTGTGAACTTGTGGTCCATTTGGCTCAATAGTGATTTTCCTGCAACTTTTTTCATTGCTTTTTACTTTGTATTTGATTTGCTGATTTGAAAGGGAGTTCGTGGCTTGGTTCATTTGACCTGTGATTTGTATGTCAATATGTTTTGTAGACAATGCAGAAGCGAAGTACATCAATCGCTTAGTTGTCTGAAGCAGAAGTACCTCATGAATAAAACAAGCAGCCTACTGTAGCTCTTAGCTGAGATAGCTGTTAGCAATGCACATTTCAATTAGCGCATTGAAGATATCACAAAATGAAAATAGATCCACCTGAGGTACTTATTTGTATGATATTAAAGCGCTGCTGTTTTCAACAAGAAGTCCAAAATATCAATTTTTACCAAAAATTACAAAAATATTCATCTAATTTAGAGAATTGAAGACATCAACACAAAATGAACAAATGTAAGAGGTCTACCCAAAGTACATATACACTGTACATCTAGTGTCAAAGAAATCAGATTTATGGTTTTTAAGAAGAAGTTGAAAAAGTAAAAAGTTGATACGAACGATAACGAACAATCAGTAATTTGATAAGCTCCATTTATCAAAGTCAACAGTGAAGCTAAAGAGTTTGTGGTCGACCAATAATAACTTAATTTGGTGGTCCAAAGCCTAAAGCCATGCAGTGGTCATTTGATGCATAACCACCCCTAATTTCGAACTCTGATTATTAATAACTAAATGATCAGGTCATATCATTAAGAAAGCAACAATTGAAAAACTATGTAGAGAACTTAACTATAGTGTAGTCAGAAAAAGAGTATAGTTATAGACTACACAAAGTAAACATACGTAACTCAAATATATACTGTCTTGAATTTATGTACTTAATTTTGATCTTGTTTTTATCAACGAAAAACGGATGTAAACAAAATTTTGTGATCTGACATATCAATTTGATGCTGATGAAGTCATTGAGATTAGATTGAAACCATTAATAGGAGATGAATTTGTAAAAAAATTATGATTTAGTGCTTTTACACGAGGATTGGACATTGGGCAGTCATATTGAATCAAATTACAAAAATAAAGTTCATGTTGATGTATCTATTGATATCTTTGTACAAAATTTAAACAGAAATGTTCATTGCATTCATGGGAAAGTAGGCATGGGTATCATGAAAAACAAAATGGTCACCAGTCAGCCATATTAGTTTGAATCACCGAAAAAATATGACATGCAACTATAACCCAATATGTATGATCATCATACCAACTTTGATCTAAATTGGCCTAGTCATCTCTGAGAAACAGCTCCGAACATGTAAAAATTACGATTTAGCACTTTTACATGAAAATTGGGCATTAGCCGGCCATATTGAATTGAATCACAAAAATAATGTTGGTAAAAATGTATCTCTTGGTATACTATCTTGGTACAAAATTCAAAGAGAAACGTTCATTGCATTCAAGAGAAAGGCATGTTTGAATCACAGGCGCATACGTGTCAATCAAATGGATGATCACATGAAGTAGACAAGTGTACAAGTGTAGTAGACGACAAGGCACGATATTGCAGACCTTTAGAATTTTAATGTTTTTAATAGGGTTAACAAAAATAGCAACACCAGCAGAATTTGAGGACTCATGAGAGAAGAACATTGGAGACCTCCAAACAATTTGCCATTGTGGTTCATCTGACTAAATAGTGTGTCTTTGTAGAAAAAAGAAATTACTGGAGTGATTCCGCTCAAGGAACTCAAGAACTTGGTAACATTTTAGAGAGTCTTTGCACCTATGAATGTTCCATGTTACAGCTGAAAAATTAGCCATAAGGATAATACATAATATGTAGTTATGATACAATTGAGTTGTCTCTCTTTAATAATTGATGGCGTTTAGCGTGAAATAGATGAAAGTTACTCTGGATACATTTGATCTAATGAAATAAATACAACCACAAATTCCTAACATAGTAGCCAGATTTAGCCATGCAGGTGGGTGACTGGTTACACACCCATGTATAGCAAATAATGGTTTGAAGTCAGGTGAGAAAGCATTCACCGGATACAGGATTATAGTAGTAAACAAAAAGCAATGAGAACAACACCCATGTGACACCAACATGGTTGCCAAATTATGTACACATAAATTGTACACATTCAGGAGCAATACACATTGGCATGGAAAGTAGATTTGATTCTATGCTATTACAGCACGAGTGATGTAGACAATACCACGATTGCTTAGACACACGTGTTACAAGCTCAGGTGTAACATAAACAAACTGGATATTGCTGAGAGATCAATCTCTTGATTCAATTTTACAATTTTAAAGTATAAACAATGCTGACAATACCTGAACATAGATAACAATAACAGACAGATAACACGTCCATGGGAAAGACATAGTAGTTTTGTATCAAATGAGGAAATGATTCCCAGATTTTATTTCAGAATATTAAAACACAAGTGATTTAGATAATTAGAGATTTCCAGCATTGTTGTTGTGTTGACCACAACTAGCCTACTTGTTACACACTCAGGTGTAGGAATCTTCAGGTTTGATTTTATATTATAAAGATTCAAGTGACATTGGCAATGCTCAGATTACAGAGTTATTTGCATGGTGAACATAGCATATATACTTGTTACACAACGACGTTGTTGTCATGGTGACAATAGCTTGTACACTTGCTACACATTCAAATGTAACATAGAATAGTTGAAAATTAACTGTGAAATCAATACCTAGGTATATAATATTGAGTAATGTAAATCAAAGTTAAACTGTAAATAGCTCCCGTGCGATCAGAGCATGTATTATAAAGGTATAGGCTTTGCCTAATAAGTGAATGTAATTGCATGTAGGTCAATTCATCAATAAAATTGATCAAGATGTCTGAGAATCTATGACATACTGTATATGGAAATACATGATTTTGATATGGGCATTTTGAAAAACATGCAAGGACACTATACTCATAAACAAAGGGCACTAATGAGGCACTCTATGAATGAGGTATTTCTAGAGGTCGGGGTTTGTCTCATCTGCAGTTGAATAATATTTGCTTTGATTTTCTTATTGGTTTTTTTTTTTCCAATGCGACTTAATTTCACTTGTTTTTTTTAATTCTTGGTAAATAGTGTCATTAGCGATGGAGTAGTAAAAACCGCAATTAACCTCAGTGCAGCAAATCGGGATAGATCTTCCTGACGCAATGGGCAAATTTTGCTATTTTCGCTAACAAGTAAAATCTGCTAAATTAAACCTACGTGAACATGTAAAGTAACAACAGATTCTTGAAATTAAATCATCAAAATAGTACAACTAAAAAGTATGTACAACATACCTAGAACAGATAAATAAAAACATAGTTTAATGTTCGTCCAGACTTTGAGCCCTTGAAAGTAAGTGATCCAGCCCTTACATACACCAACGATTGAAATTTGTTTATTTGCTATCAAATTATCGCTCGAAAAACAAATATTTCATTTGTGAGACGTGCTTTTGATACAAACCGAAGATCGCGATCGACCC